TGGTTATTTTTCTAGAACACGTTAGCACCATTCATTGAGTTTATTGACCTCAAAAAAGATTTTTTAAAATTGTAAAGAATGAAAATGGTTTTTAAATCGTTTCAAATCAATCTTTGTTGAGGACTGAACGATACCGTCACGCCACGTAGTGGCGAAATTCTGTACTAGCGCACTAGGGCAATTTTGACGAAATAACATGGGAAATTCGATAAATGTACAAAATAATAAATGTTGCACAATGAATTTTGTACATTTATCATTTTTAATTGAAAGTACATACCTAAATATGAATTTAGAAATTTTAATCCTATTAAAAAGTTGATAAATAAGTGTTGATAAACAATATTTAATGTCAAATATCCGAGTGCCGCACAGCGCGGCATTATTTAGTCGAATCGTTAAATTTGTAACTCGCTGTAAAAGTATCTCTTTCCGATGATGAGCTCAGATATTCCGAAATTTTCCGCTTTATCCGGGAAAATTGAGTTTAAAGTTTTTCCGTCGATTTTCCCGGATAAAGCGGAAAATTTCGGAATATCTGAGCTCATCATCGGAAAGCTGAGGCAATTTCCCATCGAAATAATGCGTTACATTTTTCTTCTGGGTGCATTTAGATACTTTTACAGCGAGTTACAAATTTAACGATTCGACTAAATAATGCCGCGCTGTGCGGCACTCGGATATTTGACATTAAATATTGTTTATCAACACTTATTTATCAACTTTTTAATAGGATTAAAATTTCTAAATTCATATTTAGGTATGTACTTTCAATTAAAAATGATAAATGTACAAAATTCATTGTGCAACATTTATTATTTTGTACATTTATCGAATTTCCCATGTTATTTCGTCAAAATTGCCCTAGTGCGCTAGTACAGAATTTCGCCACTACGTGGCGTGACGGTATCGTTCAGTCCTCATCACTTTCATTGAGCAGCTGTTTGGTAGTCGCAATAAGCTACTAGTGCTGCCCCTACTTTTCAAAGTCATCAACTAATTTTGTAAACACAAAACATGTAGGCAGAATGCAAGCATCCATGCTGTTAAACCATCAGAAGCAAAAGATATAACCAATATTTTATACATAATATACTGAATTTATGTGATGAAAAATTTCAAAAGTTGTTAATATTGAATTTCAACACAGTGTGAAAGAAATTAAGGGCTTTAGATCTGAGTTATAGCTGTGTTGAGTCCAGTTGTAATGTGATAATATTTTTTTAAGTATTTTATAAAAAGTACATACATCTTCAGTTACAAAGTTTAAAGTTCATTAGTATTCTTTGTTTAGGATATTCATAACAATCAATAAAATATATTGTGAACAATAAAAGTTGTAGGATAAAACATTTTAGTTGGTGATTTTGTCTTACATGTTAGTAGCGGCAGCAACTATAAATACTTTTTGACTGAAATATGCAATTAGAACATTAAAAAAAATGAAAACCTATAGGTTTAATGCAATAAAAATTAAAAACATTACAATATGTATGTATAATAAGTAGTACTAAAATTTATCAAAGTTAAATTGTTATTTGAGCCATATTCAAATCTCTGTCAAAATTTAATATCAAAACTTACCATTATTACTCTCAATGTATCATTTGACATACTTGAAAACATTTAAAAATAAAAATATGTTAGAACATCATTTGTGCACTAATGTGATTGTGTAGTATAAGTATTGGATAAAATATACCTAGTTAAATATCTTAAAAAGTTCAATTTTTCACATTTTCTCTTAGTATACGCATAGGTTCTCAATTAGATACATATTTAACATTGTCTTAGACAAACTGAAATCTTCTTGAAACAAATGGACTGTGTTTTTTAGAATTGAAATTAAACTTGCCATATAAATATTAAGCCAACAGTTGTGAAAAAAGTACAAAATGAGAAAATTAAAATTCATGACTTTAAACGCATATTTTGAAATAAATATGAAGGCCTAAAGTAGTAATATAATCTATGAAGAGAACATTTTTGAAATGATTTTAGATTGTACCAGATCTTAAATGTTGGGAACTTATCTGAAACCCATACATTTACTAAAAAAATAGCTTCATCTTGTACATAAGTTAAAAGGAAAGGTTTTAGACATATGTAGCACTTTTAAAGTGCAATTGGCAACAAAAAGTTTGGTAACAATGATTTTTCAGGACATAGAGAAATTGGTGAAAATAAGTGGGAGTGTACAATTAAAAATATACAAAATATTTTGTATTGTGTATCATCATTGTGATAACTAACTTTTGTACCAATACATTTGCTAGTAATAACTAATCTAAGACTGTGTATATCAGTGTATGAATACTAGAACGAAGGTTGTAATTAATAGAAACATGTTTTACTATTCTTACGTTATGATCGCCTCGATCGCTATGATGAATTGTATTAAATCTAAGAAGCTAATAGGAGAGAAAAAGTGCGCGCATAAGATAATTAAAATTATAAAAGTCATTTTACGTTCGATGCCATTTTTTGTTTCAATGACCGAGCGAAGGTTAGCCGTCGACTTTTTATTTGCGCAAAAAAAGAAGTAAATAACGTTCATATACGCGCGGTGAAAAAGAACTCTCGCAGTCTGCAGAAATATTCCAACGAGCCTAGCTCTCGATATAATAATATAATATCGTACGAATCCCATCTCATCAAGCTAATTCGATTAAACATCTGTATTTCTCTATGGCAGTGGCTGCAGTATCCGAAACGTTTCAGCCTGCTGCACCCTTTTTCTCTTTCTCTCTGTGTTTGTGTCTGTGTGCCTTGCCGCCGCTGCAGCCAGTGCGACGTTAATTTAGACGAATTTCATTAGACAAACGAACTTTGCTAATCCAGAGTAATCTGATTAGAAATTTGCCGGGACTCGCGCGCGCATCTCTCGGTGTAGCTGCACGTATATGTATATATCTGTACACCCCCGCGCTCAACTAAAATCCCGCTATAGTCTGAAGAGGAGCAGAGCTAGACACCTCTTTTACTCTTTGCTACTCTCTATCTCCCTCTCTCTCTCTCTCGAATCTTCTTCGTTGCGATGCAAATATTTGCAGAAATTAGCTTCGTCACGGAAAATTCAAGATCTATATCCCGTGAAATGTACAACGCAAAGCGCGAAATTTGTTTTTCTTCTGTGCGTACATACGCACACACGTACACACTTGCACACGTGCGCGCCAACTACTCGTCTTATAGGTGTGCACTTACATACATGAAAAAAAAACGTATGAAAAGTATACAGGTTACCATTTGTCGCGCGGCAGCTATTTTCCCCATGCCTGAATAAGTAAGTAGCGAGCGACAATGACGCTCGGTGCGATGCATTATTTATCGTATATAAAAATACGTGAAACAAAAAAAGGCGAGCATGTGTCACATAGGCAGCCGAACGAAACAATACGTAATAAGGGCTTGGATATATATAAATGCACACGCGTGAGAGAATGGGAGAGAGAGAGAGAGAGAGAGAGAGAGAGAGAGAGAGAGAGAGAGATATGGCAGAGTGCTTATTTACTGCCCTCGGAGATAAAAGAAGTTCGATTTCTCTTATTACAATGCGATTCGATTCTCCTTCTGCCGATACATTAATATATCATGTACTTGGCACACGACAAAGGCGCATACACCCGGGCATGATTGACACTCACAGCCATGTATTTATATAATAAATTATTTTAAGAAGCCGCGAAGCAAATTTTCTTACCTGACTCGCATGGTTCTTCGCCCGAACGAGAGAGCCATAATTAAGCTCCAGGTATAAATTCGCTGCTTTTCTCGAGCGCTAATTGTAAACCTATTATACATCAAACCTTAAGTTAGTGCAGTATGGCAAGCGTTTAAAGAAACAGCGTGACAGCTAACTGGCGTAATTCACCTGCTAAGCTCTCGATATTCACAGCTCTTTAATCCCGTATGTGCTTGGAAAAATCTACTTATGCATGTATGTGCAAAAGTGATTTAATCAGCGGTAATGTTACACCGCATCTCGAGAGCAGTGATTTTCCCTCAAATCGTCACATTGATTATTCCCACATTGCAGAATTAATGTCGTCGTCGTCGTCGTCGTCGTCGTCGTCGTTAGAGTCGTTGTAGTCAACGAAATTTTTCTATGAATAATATCATGGGCAGTAAGAGGTCAATGCAGGTATGAAGTATATAAGGATTAACGGTATAGTGAACGCGTGCGTATATCTACTCGAAATAGGAGGAAACAATTAGAGGACTGTTGGTGCAAGTGCGATTGTCCGTCTGGTTTGCTCTATAACTGCAACTGCTACGGCTGCTGCTGCTACTGTTTTGTATGATGCATGCGCGACTAATGGATACTACGCAGGAGTTACAGTTCGAGCCGGCCATCTATATTATAAGACTGTGCTTTTGCCGAATCACAAGAGAGTTTTGAATTAAATATAGGCGCGCCTTCAATTTGTCCTGTTCAGTTGTACCCATGTATACTGTATATGCGCACCGCTCCAGCGGCATTAAATCTTTTAAGACTGGCCGTACGTTATTAGTCCCTTTAATTAATCTTTTGACCTCCGTATACGACTACTGCGCTGCTGCAGCAGCAATAGCAGCTCGATATGAAAGAGTAAGGAAGCCACGTGTACGAGCCCTTAAAAATTAATTCTAAAAGTCCGAGAAATTTAGCAAGTTCCGAGATATGGGTGCTAGCGATACGCATTCGTAAACGAAATGAAGCAACTTGCCGTGTGTCTTTCGACTTGTATATACGCAAGCGAGGCGTTTTGCATCATATTAGTAAAGTTACCAGAGGCTTTCAATTCCTTCCGCAGTGATATGCGCCCTGCTCGGCTCATCATCCTTAGATACATAATATCTTACCCTCGTGCTCGTCTCGCCTACTACGTATATACGCGCACTTGCTTCACGTATATAGATATGTAATATATAGTATACTTGTATGCATATACGAGCTCATGTAAGACCGAGAACTGAAATAATAATTGTTTGTTTCTCTTTCTCTATGTGTGTTTCAGGCCAAGTTGCTGGAATCGTCCCACGCCTGGCTCGGAGCATCTACCTCTAGTATAGCAGGTGAGTGTCTTTCCAAAGTTTATTAATTATACTTACTCGTTTTCTATATATATGTACGCGCGTGCTTATACGTCGGTGCACTTGTGCGATAAGCAGCTGTGTTCGAGCCGCTGTGCCCCAAGCCCCGAAGCGGCAACTTTTGCTTTACTTTTATACCGCGCGCACAACAAAAAGAAACATTTAAGGCCGCCATTATTGCCATGGGCAATTATCGGGCTTTTTAGCTGAGAGTGGCGGGTCAGACTTGCAGGACGCGATCGAGGCCGTGATCCAGCAAAAGATGCGATTCACCCGGGTGTCGAGTAAGTACGGCGTACCCAAGGGTACGCTCAGCATCCTCGGCAAGTCGCGACGCATGCTGGTGGTCGAAGAGGCCGGTCTCTAGCCTCTGCTCTAGTTCTGCTGCAACGTCGCGTACAGCGTGTACAATCGGCGCACGAAATGCCCCCTCGAGGCCGTGCTGGACTGCGTGGAAAAGCACCTGGCTCCGAGACGGAAGGTCCCGGGCCCAAGCTCGTTGGTACTCTGCTGTGCTTTCGATGGTGGTGGGCGTTTTGTAAGAAGCACGGCATCGTTTCACTCTATTACAACGGCGATCGGGAGGAGGACGATTGATCGAATAATTGTGCAGCGCGGCCGAATAAACGAGATTACGTTACGCGAGCGCGCACGCATATTTCGAATAATTTTACATCAAACGCTAATATACACTCACGTAACTCGACGCGTGCACATCCTGCCGTCACCGCCGCCGCCACCACCGCTTCGACGCGCGTAAATATGTGCATCTATGTGTGTACGTGCGACACACATATGCGCGAGCTTTAATGACTCGTTAAATATTATACGCGTGCTACGAAATTATACATGGATTTTTTGTGTATGTACGTGTGTATTTACGTGTGCTCGCGAGCGCGAGCCACTGCCTGAGCGAGATCGTAACGCGATGCATAATAATTCTCGAAACAAGTTCAGCTGCAGCGCGAGTATTAATTCTACAATATAATTATAAATTATTCCTAATTGTACATGACGTGCCAATGTTTTACGTAACACGTGCCAATGTTTTATTCTCGACGCGAGTATTAATATAAAGCTTGCAATCGCTCCGCGGATATTTTATTTTTAAGCACTTTAAAATTAATTAATTTTATATTAAATGCAGCCCGTGTAATAATGTAATCGATAATTCGCCAAGGAGCGCATGCCTTTGTATATTAATTGTCTGTATGTGTATGTGTATGTGGCAGCAAACGATCATCACATCGAAAGGTTGAATGTTACTCGCGGTATAAACCGAAGGAACAATCGTCGCGCCCCGCCTGGAACGCTCATTTCCGGCACAGACCTAACGCGTAATCCGAGCAGAATTCGTATGATCGCTCGTTGGCTTTTTTCCTCTCACTCTGTCACTGCTGCTGCTGCTGCTCTCTTCGAGGCGCGAGCAGTGCAATCATCTCTCGCGCACATGTGCTCGTGCTCGAGTTCGTGGCTGCAGCCGCAGCAGCAGCAAAGCTTCCTGCTTCCTCGATCTCGCGAATTTCTATATGTACACGTGAAATAGTGTAGCGCGCAGCGCACACATATAGGAAACTCCGTGTGGCAGCAGCGAGATCTAAGCAGTCAGTCGGCAGACGTCGAGAGAACGTTTAGCTGCTAATTTAAATTAAACTAGAGCAATGCCATTCCACTTGCGGAGCGCGTCTCCGGATGCTAGCAAGTAGCTCTACACACTATTACTCGAGCTCTTTCTCTTATAGCTTTGCCGCCGATAAGCTCGTGCGTATATTTAGGCTATATTTTTATCCTTGCGCGACTGAATTATGCAGATTTCAATTAACTGCGACTCGCGCCCCCATCTCGCGGCTCCACAATACATCTACACTTTTACGTGCAAAAATATTTATGAATTCCCGTGTATATAATGCGCCCGCGTGCAACAATCGATGTGCGAGCTCTCGCGTACGTGCGCATAAGCGGTAGATGGGGCACAACTCGTATTTCGATCAACAAGTTGTTTTCGCGCGTCACGATTGTACGCGGCCACCTCTATGCGTTTACGCGCTTTTATATATATATTATATGCTGCTATGTGCCGATGACGGCGGATTTTCGCTCGTCCACGCTACATCGCGTTGCTCACATGCTCGATCCGCTGCAGCGCCATTAAAATTCTACTTAAAATTATTAGCTCGATTACGTTGCTGCTGCATATATAATAATATGTGCGCGCGTGCCTCGATTAAGCACTTCTATCGATTTCTCGAATCGATGAGAAAAAAAATAACAGAGACAAAAACGATGATGAATTACCCGCGAGTCTGTGCGCTTTGTGTGTGCGCTCGCGAGCCGCACATATATATGCAACATTTTTAAACGCTGTTACGTCGGGGCTTTTGTGCTGTACGTTGACTTGTTCGTGGTTGCAGTCGTCGCTTTAAACGTTGCGGGACGCCTCCACGGGCGCATATTCGTCATTTTTCTGTAACTATTTTTGAATTGTAGCAGCGGATATGGCTCGTTTTGGTAAATGATACATCAACTATACACACATTTGTTGGTACATTATTCGTATATTTGTAAGAGAGATAAGGTCGGAGAGCTATTAATTTACGTCACGCTTGGCTTATATAAATGAATTTTAATACATAATAATAATTAGACGAACAATGGAACGTGTAGCAGCTCGTTTATATACATAAAACAGATGTGAATAGTTTGTAATATCGATGAAAATCTTCCACAGATTACTTCTATGTTATGTAATTATTGAAATAACAATGGAATACTATATTATATATGTATATGCGTGTGTACAGCGCACGAGCGTAATGTAAATTGAAATTTAAATATTTTTACGCGCAATATTATGAATATTATATATTCGCTCTTGTGTGCGTCATTCCAAGAAAACGTCTCGCTCTGTTATATATGCACGCATTATTAAATATTACAGTTGTATTGATATTACATGGTGTATATATATATATCTGCATGCACGCGTCGGTATAAGTATGTGTATGTGTGCAATGAAAAAAAACCTGGCGAGCTGGCTTGCTGACTTGCGCACGGCAAGGTGACTTTTTTTTATTTCTTCAAATAAATCGATGTTGCAGTTTCACTTTACATATTATATATGCACAAAGACCTGCGCGCGCGAGTTAAAGTATTGACTTACCACCTTGTGCGCATGTAAGAGTACGTGTGACGCTTCGACGTTTTTCTTTCATTATTATTATAAAAAAATACGCGATCTGTTTTGCCTGTACTACACATCGATTAAAATATTTCATCCAATTCTACTTTTTTTTATTCTGCCGCAACGATGTAGTCGTTCGCGATGTTAAATGTAGCTTGTACATATAGAGATCGGAGGCTCTCTTGCGCTCGAGTCCGCGAGTATTAATGATAAGTTTCAAAAGCCTAAAACAGTTATTATTTATATACATGCGATCGGCATAGCTACTTTACAATATACATATTATACACGCGCATAAAGTACATGCTCAACTGCAACTACATCTTTACGAGATGATAGTTATTATTATTTTCATTCGCGATAATCAAGAGCGCGTGGATATATGCTACATGTGTGTACGATGTAACATCGACTGCTTGAGTTTCACCGCGAGACTCGCGCGCTGCATCGGTGTTTGTATGTGTGTGTATGTGTCCGAGCGTGCATGTCTGTAGCGTATAGTATGTGTGTATGCGAGCGCACTACGCACGCGTCTTTTCCAATTAATTGTATTAATCATAAAATTGGAGGAGGCCTAATTACACTTAATAACTTAACCGTTAAATAATTGCTGTGTGAATCGAGGCCGTCGATATATAGATATATTTATTTTTCCACAATATAAATATAAATATTACAAGACTAGCTCCAGTGATATCCAATTGATCTACTGATATTCAAAGAGATTTACCTATAAGACTGCGAAAACTTTGGCATTTGTAGTAAATATATTTTAATGATATGTTAAGGTTAGGCTATCGAATTTTTATAAGCTTGCATATCGACAAATGTTCTTATAGACACATGTACCCCATGAGTGAAATGCCGCGAGTTATTTATGTTTTTTCATGTCTTTTATTTTATTTACATGGTAATTTCACCACATTACTTAGTCTTCTTATTTTTTATACACGTGCCTTTATTTTTTACGACTATACATTGAACAAAAAAAACTGACGATACCTTTATTGTCAGAAAAGTATATAAAGTTTTGTTAATTTTTTATTTCCTTTACTCTGAAAAACCCAATGAATGAACAATGGCGTAGGTAGTACAGAATGCCACAGACCATAAGTATATTATGCTTGTATATTTTAATCATTATTTTGAAATTATTTAGCACTTGGACGTAGGTGTTGTTATATATTCGTTTAAAAAATGCATATGCATACGGCTTGTAATAAGTACAAAGAATCATTTAGAGAACGTAGTGTTGCGTATATAGGCGAGTCCAATAGCGACAGTCTCATTGAAATGTTTTTCTGCACATTGAAATAATAAAAAAAAGCGTCTCTTCATTCTATACGGGCCTGCGGTAATTGTTCCAATAATTTTTCATTTTCAAAAAAATTTTGTTTTTTCTTCTTATTTTACAGTGATCCAACCATCCAAAATGTACAACTTGTATAATGAAAAGTAATGTAATTTTAAATATTATTTTTGCATCCAACAGAAGCAATTTATCCGAGAATATAAAGTTATACGATGAATAGTATACATATACAGCCAATGAAATATTAAGAGTCTGCAAAGTAATGAAAGAACGAAATTTCAACGAGAGAAATTGAGATTTTTTTTCATTATTTTGTCGAGTAAAAGCCATTTAATATTTTAAAGCCCGTACGATTTGATTATTATTTAAAGAATTTCAACGGTTCAAGCTGTGAATTTAGTAGAATTCGAAATACTTGCTAGATTCTTACTCGAGCGTACAATTGATAGTCTTAATAATGAAAATTCCCTGACCCGATTATTACGTTTGTTATATACAATAGACATCTCATTAAGATATGGCACCTTTGAGAAAACATGACTAATGGATTTTGCCCGTTTCGGGGGCTCTGTTCCAGCAGACAGTTACCAGTACCAGTTGCAGTCGATGTGGCAAAAGTGCTGGAATACCAATCAAAGTCTCGTGCACAATCTGCGCTTTCGCGAGCGAGGCCCGCTCAAGTCCTGGCGCCCGGAAACGATGGCCGAGGCAATTTTCAGCGTGCTGAAGGAGGGACTCTCGCTCAGCCAGGCGGCCAGGTTAGTAGTGCTCGGGGACTTGAATTTTTTAAACGCTATTTTCGTATGCGCAAAGGCCTCGAAAGCTCGCGAGGTGTTTAATAATAATCACACAAGAGAGTAAGCGGAGAGAGTGAGCGAGAGAGAGAGAGAAAGAGAAAGAGACGTAAAGTAAGAATAAAAAAAGGCCATAATAATGAAGCGAGTATTGTTGTGTTTATGTTTGCAGGAAATACGATATTCCATACCCGACGTTCGTACTTTATGCGAATCGAGTTCACAACATGCTCGGGCCAAGCGCTGATGGTGGAGCGGGTAAGTGTAATTCAAAACCAAAGTATTATACAGTAGTCATTATTATTGAACGCCAGTTTTGCCTCGAAGAAAAATAGAAAAAGGGCGGCTCGCGCGGACGGATTGCGATAAATGAGAAGAAAATTTTAATACTTTTTTATAAATATAGTCGCAGGTTCTTGGACCTTATGCACCGATTCGAGTTTGCTCGTTCTCCTTTTCATTTCTTTCCTTTTTTTTATTTTTATTTTATAAAAAGACTTCTTAAAACTCTTAAAACTCTTCTTAAAACTCTTTTAAATTTTTCTCCGCTATATCGGTGATAAACAAAAAAAAAGGAATATCGTATTCTCATTACGCGTGCGTCGTTAAAAACAATAATAAAATGCGCGTCTTTTTTTACACCTACATTTCGAATATTAAAATATTATAATGCATCGAGTCCAGTATATCGAATACGCATATATAGCTATACGCGCGACTGAATCACGTCGTATAATGCGAGAGCGGAAAGTTGAAACCCGCGTCATTTTTTCCAATAATACGGACGACGTGGCTCGTTACATTTCGCGTTAAAAGTAAGAAAAAGTAACGATAACGAAACAATAGCCCTATGGCGAGCGCGCGTCGATGCGTCGGAGAAGTAGCAATAAATATAGTTTGTACAAAAGTAGCATTAGTTCGCAAAACACAAGTGACACAACTGAGTAGACGAAGACTGATGGAAGCATAATTAAGATTGTATGATTGCAGACCTACGGCCAAAAGGTCGAGGTAGGCCACAGAGGATTTTGCTCGGCATCTGGCCGGACGAGCACATCCGCGGCGTGATTCGCGCGGTGGTCTTCCGCGACGGCCACTCGCCCCATCACATGGTCAAGGAGGAGCAGCAGCCCATGTATCCGGCGGCGCTTGCGAATTACGCCGGCGCCTGCAACGGACCCGAGGGAGCGGTTAGTCCCTCGGCAGCCGCCGCCGCGGTCGCAGCCGTCGCTCAAGGTACGTACCCTGTATAATCCTCCGCTCTTCCCTCCCGCCAAAACCGCAAATATTCGCCATCGAGAATCTTGATTAACGATCGTTCGACGACTCGTGCGTCGTCTCGTGCTCCTTGTTGCAGGTTTGAGACATCAGATGTGCAGTATGGTGGCTGCGGCCCACTCTCAGCACGACATACTCTCGGCGACGAATCTCTCGACGAGTCTGTCGTCGAACCTCCAGGCGGCCATGCAGCAGGCCAGTCAGCAGCAAGCGGCGGTAGCTCAACAGCATCAAGCGGCCCAAGTGGCCCAGCAGCAGGCCGCCCAACAGCACCAGCTTCACCAGCAACTACAGCAGCAGCAGCAACAGCAGCAACAGCAACAACAGCAACAACAGCAACAACAACAGCAGCAACAGTCGCAGTCTCAATCGCACCATCACCTGCATCACAACAACAGCGGCAATTCGGCTTTGGGAAGCGGAAGTATGTTGCCACCGAGTGCGACACCGACCCCCGCGTCTCACGGTAATTCGCCATTGAATCTCGGTCTGGGCAGTCCTGGCTCGGGTGGACCTCCGGAATCGCCACTCGAGTCGCCTCTGGCGTCGCCGCTGGGCGCCCTGATGGAGGGAGCCGCGGCCCACCTGACGTCGAGCGTCGAGGTAGGCATCGGCGTCAGCGGCATGGCAGCCGCATACAAACCGTCGTCGCGCAGCTTCGTCAGTCCGCGACCCGAGCCGCTTTTCCAGGAGGATCTGTCGGAGCTTGTGAAAAGCTCGCACGCGGCCCTCAAGGAGAAGGACAAGATCGCCGTCAAACTCGAGCCCCTGGCCGATTCTCGGTGCGAATAGTAGGCAAGGTACGGTGGAGTTGCAAGTCTGCAACAACAGCAGCAACAGCAAGAGCAGCAACTCCACCAATTGCAGCAGCAGCAGCAGCAGCAGTCGATGCAACAACAACAACAGCAGCAGCAGCAGCAGCAGCTTCTTCCAGGCAATTCAGCACAGATGCCGCACTCTAGCCACGACGGTCTCGACTATCGAAAGCTCACCTTGCCCGAGCGTCTCTTCAACATTTAAGAAAAGTCAGAGTCGTGCAATCCAGAACCTAACGTAAGATGGAACTTCTCGTTTATTTTATGTCGCAAGCCGCTCGAGCGTCTGCGTCTCTGTACATAGTAATAAATATTTAATTACGTGTAGTCGATTTGTATGTGATGTAATAATGAAAATAGCCTGTAAGAGCTATAGTATAGATGTATACATAAACGCGCCTAGGGTACGAAGAAAAGAGAGAAGAGGCTTCAGCAATCAAAAAAACAAGTGACAGAGATGAAACTGATCCACATTTAATTTATATTATATTATTATTATGTGAACAAGGAAATAACGATACTGATGATAAAGTACGTATATACATATGATAATTATAAACGATACTGGATCGCGGCGATGCATGTGTAGCAGTCGAGTGTGCGCGCGGACTCCTTCCTTTTAATCGAAAAAGCGGCCTCGGTGATTCACGCCGGGTCTGCAATGCGATATTAATTATATATTTCCAATTAAATTTATATCATATTTACGATAGGTATCTCGTAGAAAAAATAAATGTAGTGACATACACACCACCCACACTCAAATGAAAAAAAAGTAAAAGTAAGTCCCTTCATTTTCTCGGGTATCAACGTGTATACGTGTCGAGCTACATAGCTACGTTTATTAAATTATACGATTTAAATGCCGCACTATTATCGTATTTATCGTATGTACGCGTGTGCATACTCAAAAAAATCGAATGAGCAGATGAACGATGAATGAGTTGCGTCTCTTCTCATAGTAAAAATATATATATGAAATTAATATTAGTGTGGGGGGATACGTAATTGTACGTGAAACTTTTGATTTTGTAACTGGTAAGAAAAAAATAAAAAAAATAAAACAGTGGCGGGACGTTCAACAAGTGCAAGTACTATATTACAATTATACATATTATAAATAAAACAAAAACATATAAATATTGAAAATATTATATAAATATATTATATACATATTACAAAATATATATATTATTTATACGTAAACGCATAGGCAATTACCATATACGTTATAAAGCCAAATGTATATTAGTCGGTAAGGGGTCGCAAGCATAAAATACGTTCAAACACGTAGAAACGAGTGTGAACGCGCGATCGTTCCGTTAAAGAAAAATAAATCTTATTTCTGTGGACATACGACGGCAACGCACTCGTTAACGATCTAGCAGTCGAATTACACATACTTTGTAGAAATACGTGAAAGACGCGAGCCAACATTTACACATTCATGGATCACACATTCATCATAATAGACCCGAAAATTCAATAAGCCAGATAGAGCAGCGTCATTTTTCCACAGCTTGACGGAACGGTATCTTTATACGATGGTGCAATATAATATAATATTATATAGTAATCTCGGAAATGACACGTATGTTACAGAACTCATCGAGTCGCTCTCTTTTCTTAGCATGAAAAAAACATAATATCGCATGAACAATTTGCAAACGATATCTCAATATACATAAATACATAGTTCTCTCATTTCTCATCAGATCTCAATTAATAAAAAATAAAAATACATGTATACATGCCGGATTCGACAACATTCCTTCTTCGAATAGTCTTTTTCGCTCCCTAAAGTTACTTTTCCGCGATGTAACATAATTTACTTATGCTTGCGAGGGATGGCGAGCAAATATGTATGAAACAATTTCATCTGGCATGATCAACAAGCGAAGTTATTGCTCTTTCATAAACATGAGTATACGGGGTGATTGTGACCAAAAGTAGATTTTAAATAATTATCGTAACTCGATATGCTCCATGAAAGCTTATTTTTGTGAATTTATAAATTAAAAAAAAGATCGAATCATACATAAAAGTGAAAATTACACGAAATTGTTTCTTAAGGGCAAGTCGAAAAAAGATTATCGCGTGTACGAACTTTTTGAAATGATACTGCGAAAAATAAATTTTTCTTGTGCATGTGAGCAGTGATAGGAAGAATATTAAGCAAACACGTTATTAAGTATTGCCTTCCTGCCATATTTGGGGTATGCCAAGTATAAAAATTATAAGGTTTAGGAATAACTAAAAAATATTAAAATTAAAGCCTGTGTGCAAATGAGTTACAGCATGAATGTGATAATCGAGTAGGTAGATTTTTGAGACACAATCCAAGTAGGAATAGGTAAACTTCATGAAAGTTCGAATGTAAAAAAAGACACAAGAGGCGACGAGCATGGAGGTGCTTCTTTTTTGGCAGAGTCAAACTATTTTTCAAAATTTAGTAAATAAAAACCGCGTGGCTTTGAGAAACAAAAAATGCACAGTGATAACAAAATTTTCGGTTTAGAACTTTATGATTAAAAAAACACACGAGGCCTTCGCCAGCTCAGAAAACAAAAAATTAAAAAAATTCAGTAAACAAAACTACTTAAAATCGCATTTACGAGTTTAGATCATTGATAAGCTTTGTAATTGTGAAACGGAGAATCCAAAATGAAAACATTCGAAGTGGCCTTCGTGAGTGTCGCAAAAGCTAAAAGCCCTTAAAAATGTGTATAGTCGTCGCGTTTTACGAGATTTTTTTTCCAAACGATACATGTTCTCCATGTTTTTCGGAACTTTGCAAAATACATGATAATTAGAAAATCGTGATTACATTTTTGAATAACTAATACAAGGCGCTGGCTGAAAAAGGATGCATTTTATGATTCTGAAAAAGTATTACGATTATTAACTTTCTTGAACTATACAAATAATATTCTTGATACAACACATTTTGCACGTCAAAATTTGAACCTTATTACAAGTATTCGCAATTGAGTTATCGACAGAGAAATCAATTCTAGTCAAATCTTTCGTGTTTAGGAGCGAAATTTTTTAATTAAATTGTATTTCATTTGTATACTTATTCTATTATCTTCCGAAAAATTTATAAAAAAATGTCAATGGTCTTGGCTTGAAAAGTATTTAGAATAAAAAGTGAGATTCTGGGACTGTCTTTGGAAATATTTTAAAAATGTACAGCTATACTTGATAAAAAGAAAAACTAGCTATTTTTACTTTTAAAAATATTCGAGTTGCTAAAATGTATCTAATCTCAAAAAAAAAGGATACGATATAAAGTTTAGGCATAATATGTGTTCAAAAACAAAATGTTATAAAAAAACCAAATCTAAAGTGAGTTTAAAATGTTTGTAGCGGTTAGCAAGTCATAGTGTGTATCTAAATTAGAAAAAAATGAACTGTTTCGTCTTAAAGGAAAGCGATGAACTGTATAAAAAAATGACGTGAAAAAGTAGAAAGTGCCTTCCTACCAAAAAAAACTAAGAAAAGAGTCTCGTAGATCGTGACCACTTGTAAAATGATGGAAGTCAAAATTTTTACATTAGTGTGTGCTGTTGTGATCATTTGCAATCGCGTTGGATTTACGCGAATTTTAAAATTTTTCAAATATTCAGTGAATCCGTGAAACGGAAGAATATTAAATGTCATTGCAAAGTATCGATTGAATGAAACGTGTATGAATGCTGTACTGAATAACAATAGTCAAAATGACAAAATTTCATTTTTGGACAAAAACTCACATCGGTACTACCCTAAATGGCATGTCTTTTTTAAACGATTTTCGACTTATTTTCCGTTAACTTCTTGTATAGTAAAAAATATTAAATAAGCGATAAAGAAAAAATGTAGCAGGAAGAACGAGGTAAAAATTTGAAGAAAATAAATTTTACGAAAAAAGGCAAGTGGGCACTTTAAAAAAAGAGCAAATTTCTTATTAGCGTTTTTTATATTAAGATACCTAACTGTGAAAAAAAAAAGAAAAAACACCTTATCTATGTTAAATACTTAAAATGCAAGTGAAAAAATATATAATGCGCTATTATATTGAGGATAGAGAGTAAAAAATTATATAAATAAATATATAGAAGCTATGTATATTATATAGGAACCGATAAATTGAATCTTATATATATTATTATACAAAAAAGAGAAATACTGCTGGGTACGTGTATTTGGAGAAACAAAAAATTAAAAAATATTCGTTCGTCTTAGGAGCTTTATGTACAAAAAACACGAGAAAAGAACTGATTTGGATTTAAGGTTGTCGCTATTTTTCGTGATATAAAATACCAGCAGTGTGAAAAAGAAAATTTAGAAAATTATTCTCGCCTGACACTTGATCATCAAACTTAAATCATTATAATTTTAGTCTTTCATACGTGTGAATCACTAAGTGTACGTAAAGTGGATTTTCTACGTGTGTCATTGTCTCCAATGTACGATTTTTTTTTAATCTATCTGTAAAAGATGCGAGTCCCATTAAAAATAGATGTAATGTTGTGTTAATATTTGTTTAAGCGCCGATTGAATGTTTTTTCACGTCCATCGTGAATAATTTGGTGCATATGAATCAAATATTTTTTTTACGCTACGAAAGAAATGAAAGGATGAAAATAGAAAAAAGTATGATCGAGAAAAAATATAGTAAAATTATTGAATTTAATTTTTGATTTTAGTCCGTTTTCATACATATAATGTATAGGAAACAAAAATGTGTATGTAATTTTTTGTTACTTTATTTCTACCTACGATGTGTGACTTAGCCATCGATATTACATGTATAATATCATTTCTCACGAAGTAATAATTGAATAAAAAGAAAACCTGTAAACGATATCAAAATTTATTGTAATGTTGGTGAAGTCGAAGTACTTCCTTAATCGTTCATAATCGCACACATTCGCACGATTGCGTTCGAGACTATACATTGTATACTATAATATAAATGAATATATATGTACGTATTATTATATTAACAATTATGTCTTGTAAATAGTCGTGTTTAATCAATTTTGTCGATACATATGTTGTTTGTTGAAGGAACAAACAGGATGTTTTATTATTAATTTATTTTAATATGAAATAGAAAATAATCGGCAGTGAGGGTGACGATCGCTGAATTTTGCATACAGAAAAAATGTGGAGGGCCTCATTTATCTCACATTTTTCTAGTATATTACTCCATTGTAATTATTATAAATATACATATATCCCGTAGGCGTATTTAACATTATTTCGACATTGTACAATTTTATCCTCGTGGGCTGTGCTTCTCTTTGCGTTTTTGAGTGAAGGGAAGCGTAGTGCATTTTTTTCACGTCAACTTGGAAAATAAGATTGCGAAAAAAGTTATTCGGCGCTACTTAAAAGACTGTTTTTACGATAAGAATTTTTATTACTATCTGCAGTTACTGCGAACAGTTTTTCTCAAGTATTTTTTAAGCCAAATAATTTTTTTCCTGTATAAAGTTTAAAGATTATTTTTATCGATTCGCATTTGAATCTCAAAACTGGCGTATGAAGTAATAAATTTTAGACAAAGAAAAAACAGGTCTGAGTTTCTGCGTATAAAACTTGAATTTTGAATTGTATACATTATACGTCGTAATTATTTATACATGAATTTCTCTTTTATAATCTGCGAAAATAAAACAATTTTATGTTGTTATATAAATATGGTGGTGTAAAAGTGTCAATTATGAAACTATAAGTCCAAAGACCCACGTTTCTAGAAATATTCTATTTGAAAAACTGTGTTCCTGTTTTTCTGTTGACGATCAAGATTCCTCGATATTATTTTATTTTTGTAGTAATTTTCACAATACCGTAAAAGAGTATGTAAATTCTCTTTTTTTAGATAGACCAATTTGTTATTTATTATTGAACATTATAAGTAAGCATCGTCATCGAGGCTTAGAATAAGGAAACAGTAAAAACAAAAATGTAACTGAAACACATAAACATACACATACATGAAAACGATTTTTTGATTCTGTCGACGATAAAAATCAGAATATGTAGGGTACGGCTGGAATGATACGCGTTACGAAAGATTCAAAATGTATAAAAAAGTAAAAAATAATAGTTACAAACACTATGTAAAGTGGATGTTTTTCATTTTATAAAAAAAAATATTGTTCGTTTGATTTCATTGTACCGGATATAGCTGTTAAGGTGACGTTTATCGAAAAAAATTATGCTATACATAAAAATACACCCTATATATAATATGGAGTAAGCGTTATTTACCCTACCTACCGAGGAACAAACAGAATCACGCAATCATACATTTAAGTTGCTACTTGGCACGTATACCTAAGTAATATACTAATAACGTAAACAATATGCAATAATAATAAATATAAAAAAATAAAAATTACTCTTGTCATTTTTTGAACTCATATGCCCCATTGTCCTTAAAGCTATTTAGGGTATTAACCATGAACATGCCAGTTATCAATTTTTTTTTATTTTGAAAAGAACACTGAAAATTTTACAAGTAAAATAAAATTTGATGAGATAAACAAATAAAAGATCGAATTTCAATTTTGTTTAAAATCTGTTATCTTTTAATTTCAATTCATAAATACATAAAGAAATAAATTTGATGCGATTCATAATTATAATTTTTTTAAATTATTAACAGGATCTGCAACATCAATTTTTAAAACTGAAAATAATTTGAACTGCAGAAATTTAAATTTTAAAATGCTTTTTTTCCTATCAAGTTTGTTTTTGTACATTGACTTTTGAAATGTTTATATTATTTTTGCAGAATATATTAACACAAGTAATAGACATATAACTTCACACAAAATAAATAACAAATAAGAATAATTGAATTATCACTATGTTTCATCACTCATAAATTATTTAACATTGTCTAGATTAATGGGGTCAGTCATTTATTTCACTCAAATTTACACTGAAAATCACTAAGCATGCCCATGAGCTGCATTAATTGAAGCTATTTGTTCTTTATGTTCATGTGGAACTTGATTTTGAGTATTTTGCTGGGGTGTGTTAACTACTGGAATTTGAGCATCTGCCGCTTGTTGACCTTGATTCGTATTACTATTTCCTTGAGCTGGCTGATTAGCTGTTGGAATGTTTTGTTGATGGTTTTGATTCATACTTGGCACATTTTGTTGTTGATGTTGCTGTGGTACTTGTCCAGCAGGTACTTGTTGGTTAGTTGGAGGATAATTTTGATGTTGATTCACATCATTTGAGATGGGAGCTTGATAAACTTGATTTGGATGTAGCTGCTGCTGCTGTTGTTGCTGTGGCGGCATTTGGTTTATATATTGACCTTGCTGAGGTTGGGCTTGTTGATATTGGCCTTGCTGTGGTTGGGCTTGTTGATATTGGCCTTGCTGAGGTTGGGCCTGTTGATATTGAACTTGCTGAGGATGAACTTGTTGATATTGAGCTTGTTGAGGTGGTATTTGCTGGTACTGGCCTTGCTGATATTGCCCTTGTTGTGGCGGTGCTTGTTGATACTGAACGTGTTGTTGTGGTACTTGTTGAAACTGGCCTTGTTGATGTTGATTTGGATCATAATGCATTTGTTGAGGTGGCACTTGGTTTGCATATTGTCCTTGTTGTGGATTGTGTTGTTGTTGCTGTTGAGGAACTTGGTTGTGTTGATACTGAGCTTGCTGTTGAGCATTATTGTGATGTGGTATCTCGTTAGGATGTGTTGGGAACTGAAATCAATAATAAATAATATTACAAACAGGGTTGAAAATTATGGTTCAAATAAAGCTTCAAAGATTCAAACAAGCGGACAAAATAAAAGACTTTAGAATTTTCTAAACAAAAACAAGAAACAAGAAAATCTACATATTTTTACCTGTTCATGTCCATTCTGAGGATGACCTCCAGCATGCTGTTCCGACTAGCAAAAAACAATGTACAAGCAAATCGTTAATTGCTCTAAATACTAACCAATACTTTTCACAAAATTTCTATTAGCATGCAAATGTATACATAAGAACTACTACACATAACTCAAAGTAAAAAAAAAATAAACAGAAATAAAGTACTATCAATTTTGAAATGAAACACAAGAACATTAACATACTACAAAAACAATAATTTTTCAACCAACATTTAAATTCTTTCTTACCATTCCTTTAGCGATAGCACGCTCAATTTCTCTTGCTTTTTGGGTTTTGTATGTTTCATACTCCTGTTCTGAATAAAGTTGTTGCTCATCTAATGTTTCCCAACCTGAATCTTGCTCAAATTCAGCTTTTTTTGATTCATTTATGAACTCATCATAACTGAAAGTATTAAGCCCATGTAAGCCATTAATTAATACAATTATTCAAGTAATTAAATTGATTATGTTACCTGATAAATCCATCTTTATTCAAGTCAGCTTCTTTTATGACATGTTCTCTCATTCTCTCTAATTCTTCTGCCCTTTCAACAAGATCATCTTCAGGGTGACCCTGAGCGTACAATTTATCTAATTCTTTTACAAACAAAGCTTTTAATTCAACCTGGTCCCAAACACCATTTCCATCCAAGTCTGAAAACAATTCGTTTAAATAAAACTGAAAAGCATTATATTACTAAAGAGAATATTTTATAATTTACCATGAAGATAAAAGAATGCTTTTGGATCAAATTCTTGATCTTCCATGTGATCTTGTTTTTCCCAAACTTCTTCATACTGCTTTTTACTGCCAGGATGATGTAACTGAAAATGATTCATAAAGATAACAAAAAGATAGTAAAAATATTTAATATAAAAATTGTCTATGCATACAGGCTCGTGTTCTTTATGTTTTTTCTCTAATTCATGGAGTTCTTGTTCATATTTTTTTTTCTCTTCTTCTTGCATTGCTAAAAAAAAGAATCAATAAAATTTTGAACTTTTAATAACAATAAAACAATTTCTTACTTTTCATTTTCTCCTCTTGTTCATATTTTTTGTTCATTTCATACTCTTTGAATTGCTCTTTACGTTTTTTATCAGCTTCATCCAAATCTTTTGTAGTCTTTTAAAAATAAATTAATAAAACATTACAAGACCAATTATTAAAAATAATACAGTAAATTATGAAATTAATATACCTTAGCAATTAGTTTTTTCAAATCATCAATTTCAAAAGTATGAGGATTTTGATGATCCAAATGTTCAGGAATTTTCAAATGGTCTCTGTTAATTCCATTTTGTAATTCATATTCTTGAGTAGCCAAGTGCCTAAGTCTTTCAAGTTCAGTCCTTTTGAGTTCATCCAATTTGTTTCTGACATGATGATTCACAAATTCAAGCTCATGAGCTATTTTTCCAGTCTGCAATAGGAATGTACTTTAAGCAAATTAAATCAATAGATTACTGATATTGATTTAAAATTGTTAACTTACACGAATATCAGTCTCATTGGCCTTTTCTAGTTTAGACCGGAAATCAGGATCACTTTCAAGAGCTTGTACTACCTCTTGCAGATACCTGTGATATTCCATTATATCACCAATGTCTTGCTGTGTTTGAAAACATTTACTTTATAAACAATTTCAAAAGATTGGGATAAATGCCAGGTAAAAATACTTACAACTTCAGCCTCGTCGACTTCATTTTTATGTTCTTCTTCTTTCTTTTTTTCTGGTTGAACTGGAGGTGCAACCGAATTTTGCACAATTAATATTGATATCAATAATATAAAAAGGCTCTTCATTGTTCTGTAAATTTTTAATTTATGAGTAATTAATAAGGCAAGTTTATAATTTGAAAAATATTTTGAAAGAAAACAAAATACGTGTAAGAATAATGTTAAACTTGAATGAGGTTACAACATCTGTTAGAATGACAGATCTAAATAAGTTGCACTGATAAAAGATCCAGCTATGTACTGTAAACACAAACACAACTATGACAGATGAAAATGATGCCTACCCACTATTTTGATGCTCACTGCAACGAGCGCAGCTCAAAAGAAAGTCAAAATTCACGGAAGAAAGTTGCCGAGCGAACGCGAGCGTTACAATGGGAATCGTGACATATCGTGACACAGATTAAAAAAAAAACAGAAGATAAACCAGCTCACAGGGATTAGGCGTTATCTACGGAAAGAAGTGACTGTTGTTTGGATACCTACACGATTAGCGCTACACACCGTAAGCGTGTAAAAATAATAATTCATGCAAGCGGCTACTTACTACTCGGTGACGCTCGGCAGCGAGTGATATTGCACTGTGATAATATCGGAGTCGGACTGCGCGCAAGGTGCAGCCACGTTTTTAATTGCAGGAAAAACGTTGATCAGCGCATTTGTTTAAAAGAAAAATTTACAAGCGCTTATGTGCACAAGTGCAAACGACACCAAGACGTCGTCGAGCTCACAATTAAATAGCACTGCAAAAACATGTATGTACAAACACACGTATCCCCTACTTCGAGGCTCCGGAGTGGTTACACGGGTCGAGCGCGAGAAAGAGGGAGCGAGAGATTGTCGTAAGAGTGAAGTGAAAGAGAGAGATGGTAGGCGCAGCGAGTGCAAAGATGAATAAAAAAGGTACACGTAAGCTCGGCTCGCTCGCGAACATGTTATTACAACTCGGCAACGCGTCCGCTCGGCAGATAGAGTCGGCTCGCATTGCGAGTTTCATTGTATTTACAAACCTTGTGGTGTTCGCGCTGGCTTGATTATCAGTCGTGCAGGCGCTTATTTAGTCGGTTAAACGAGCGCGTCGTCGTCGGTCTTTAAACATTGCAATTCTCACATGGGGGGCACGACGCAGGTAAATGTGTGTGCGCACGTTAGATATCAGACGTAAGCGACCTTGCGGCGACTCATGACTCTCTCGGACGTATCATGGCTACACAGTAGCTAGCTAACACGTCCTGCTGCACGGCTACTGCTGCTGCTGCAGTCTGCACACGAGATTGTAGCAGCAGTCGCAGTCCAATGCCGCAGTGGTGTGTGCGCGCGTCATAACCTTTCACTCTCGCTGCATATGCGCTTGCACAGTAGTACAGTAGCAGCAGTATAGTCTTAAGGTATTTTTGATTTTTCCATTGCGCGAAGCGTGCCGACAACGCCGTACGTACGTCAGACTCCGCATTGACGCGTTGTTGTGCTACCGACAGCAGCTGCTGGTGACGCGCGTACGGCTTTTGCACCTGCGCTCGTCTGCAATCGTTGTTTCGGCTGTTTACAGAGGGCAGCACTGCTCGCGCTCACACCGTTCGATGCTCCTTATCTCGATACGAGACGGATTAGGCGGCGGCTAAATCACGTATCCTTCGTATTTTAAACTCCTTTTTTTCCGCGAGCTTTCAAGTGGCAAGCTGGTCCACGATTAGCAATAAAATTCACTGAGAGGTGATGAAATGAATAAATTTCAAGTTTTTTGTCAAAGCCAAAACCGGTGGGTTTTATTCGAACGATAATAAGTTGTTGTAAAAAGTCGGAATTATCCGGCTTTGAAAGAAAGCCGCATCCATTTGCCTATATATATGATCCAACTCGAATTTCGAAAATCGATCGTCGACGCTTTTTGTCGATGCGTGTAATTCCGAGAACAGCGCCGAAGCACTCGATCACCAGCTGTCATTGACATGTGCTCGTCCACATAGTATACACGAGAGAGGCGGTGTGCCTAATTAATTCACCCATCCGATTCGTTTCACGAATAGACGCAATAATTGCTCGTGGGCGGCAATGCTCGACTTCCTCGTTTGGAAGACCAGTCAAAAAAGCGCTTATTAAGACGCAGTCAGCGCGAGAGAAAGAGAGTCGCAACGGCAAGAATCGTTTCTCTCTCTTTCTCGGTTAAATGTAGATGTTTGAATGCAGCTCCGCGCTAAGGCGGACGGAAGCAGCTTGCCAACGAAACTCGTTAAGTCGAGAATCGTCGTGTCACCGAGAGCGCGCGTGCGTTCGCCACAAGGCAGAGCCCTTGAGCGCCACGCGGGAGGCGCTAAGCGATCTTTGCAGTCGATTAAAGGAAGAAATATCGAGCCGTATAGCCGATTGCAGCCGCGCGCGGGGCTCTTTGTCTCCGGCCGATCGAGAGTAAGAGTAAGAGAGCACATGATGCAGGTAAAGCCCGGATTGCGCCGAGTACAGCGGAGAGAGAGAAAGAGAGAGAGAGAGAGAGAGAGAGAGAGAGAGATGGTAAGGAGATACACACGCGCGCGCATATTATAGGAGCCGCGAGTCGAGATCGGCCTCTCGCTCCTGCACAGGTAGCAACGAACAAAGACGGAGATACAGAAAGAGAGAGAGAGAGAGAGAGAGAAGGAAAAAATGACTAAAACCAGCTCCGTCTCGCTTCTACCCACGTGGAAATTCGAGTTTCCAGCCGACTCGAGTGGGGACCTTCTCTCTCGCTCGCGATCGAGCAGCAACTCGTAAGGAATCTTGTGTATGTTCTTATATGCTCGTGCGTGTGTATGTGTGGCAGCTATACGCGAGAGTGGCCGAGTGTCCACCTCTCCGCGATCCCTCGCTGCCGCCGCTGCTGCTGTTGCCGCATTACTTGCTACACACACTGAGAGTGGCTCGTTGAGTCGCACGCGCCGCGACACACGGCAGCTTCCCAAGTCAGCGAGTCTTCCTTCGAGACTCAGTCCGCAGGCGACGTTCTCCACTTATCCGTCTGCCTCTATATAAACGCATCGCGTACCATTCACACATTCTCATAGAATTCATTATTTACTCACAACACACATAGTAAGTTATTTAGGGAGAATTTTCTTACCGAATGATAATGTACCAAGTAGTGGAACTCGAGTGAGCTAATTTTCTCGCTCGGCGTTCTCCTCGTCCACGAGCGGAGCCTTTTCTTTTATTCGAGTGTCGAGTCGTGTCCGAGTGTGTCAGTGCATTGATTTGTTTGTTGTTGTGCTAACGACCGGAGAGAAGACCTCGACGACGAATTTTAATCGAACTCGGCGGTGACAGGTGTGTACCCACATAACATCGTAAATATTCCATGCATAATTATCGCAGTGCGTATGAAATAATACTTTGAGATTGAATGCGATATACATATTTCCGTACCGATCGTTGGTAAAATGTCCGAGCCGAGTCTGCGATCCTGCGCCGCTGTGCAGTTATAATTTTTCGGACGTCGAGCCAAAGAAAAGGATGAGGATGATGATGATGATACTGCAGATGATTATGATTATGCGCCGCATCAGGTGGTCCTCGAATGTTTGACCGTTTAGTCAGACGAGACCGAAGGAGCGGAGTATATATATATGCTATATATGTGTAATATACATCTTGGGAGCTCAAAGAGAGAAAGAGAGACGGAGATAGGCGCCTCTATATGTGTGTGTATATTATATACTCGATGGGTGTATGTATATGCCTTGAGAGGGAAGACGGACGAAAATAAAAAAAATAAGTAGCAACAGAGGAGATGAAGATATTTTACCTACCTGCTGGTTCCACGAAACGATGTTGAGAGAGGGAGAGAAACAGAGAGATCTTCTTTTTTTCAATATGTAATTTCCGGACGCTACTCCGAAAGATATTATAGCTTTATTTTCACTTTTTCTTTTCCTTCTTTATTTTATTTTTTTTGGTATTTGTTTTTTTACCGACATATATCGGATAATCCTGCAGTCAAAAAAAATGCCGACGAGATATGCATCTTCAAAATCTTTACTTGAATTGGATTGCTTAGCCTCTCGAAATTTCATTTGCCGCAGCATCGATTACTTACAATAACGCATACACATATTAACAAACTCGGAACGTTGCGTACGCGCCGCGCACACTGCGTTGGTATCAAAATTATTGTATTAATTTTCCTGGGTAGATATAATAACGCATTATAAACGTTTGATCGGCAAACGAACGAACGCATTGTATACATGTAGGAATAGGCAATGAACCGATGCCGCAGACTTTCACACCTTATAAAAGTCCGCTTGCGAATGTATTTATAGTTTTAATCGATGCACGCATTAGCTCAAATCGTTCGAATACTTTACGCTATATAAGCGGACTTTAATAATAATTACATCAATTATTTAGCCGCCGCCGCCGCGCGATAGGTATGTAACGCGTATTATACCGAATGAATTGAAATAATAACGAGAATATTAGGCGGGGCTCGCTATTAACATTTGAGAAATTCACCCCCTGCGCGACTCCGCGCACTGTATATCGGGTATACATTTCGCTTAATTAAACCGTGATTCATTGAGCTACGCGCGCGCGCCTGCTAAATTAATCTTGAGAATGTCAATATTGCAGCGCTCGGGTATAAATTTTAAGAAATTGAAATATACGCTCCGAGCTCGTGCACACACTGAGTATTCTCTCTCTCGGGCTCGAATTTATGCATATGTGGTGCGCGGCTTGCATTAAACACGCGCGCGGCTGCTGCTGGCCCGCACAGCTTGATTGGCGCGTATACAGTTCAGAGCGCGGCGGTGGCAGCGGGAGAGAAACGCAATTAATACAGTAGTAGCCGTAGCACAAACCTCTTTACCTAAAATGTAATTATCATCCAATCGCAGCTCATTATGGGTCCTCTCAATGGATTGCGCGACGTCGCTCCCGCACGATAATCAAGAGGATTTGCCGCAGTAGCTGTGCAGCTGTTGCTCATGCTGCTCTCTCTCTCTCTCTGCTGATCCTCGCGATGTTCAGCTGTTCAGCCGTATCCCTATACTCGTACATAGCGATCGATTTGCATCCATTGCGTACACATATTCGGCTCAGCGACTCTTCTCTCTCGAGTCCGCGTATGAAATTCCAAGCAAACTACTTATAGCATAGTATATGTTTTCCCTTTTGGCCGGTCTATATATGTTCCGCCGACGATTCGAAGAAATCGTAACGCTCCAACGTACTTTGCGTTATTATTATTGGTCTCGGGCTACGAGCGAAACGTGACTAATGGCCAGTAATTATGAATGACAAAATTATATTAAATGCGTCTTTGACGTTTATCGTTGCAGACACTCTCGCGGACGATGTCGGACTCAGGGCGCCGTGGCGGCATGCGGCTTGCCGGCCTCGCGCTCCTAACCCTGCTGATGCTCACGACGAGCGTCGGCTGGATCTACGGCTGCAACGAGGCCATCTGCGCGAGCGTCGTCAGCAAGTGCATGCTGACTCAGAGCTGTAAGTGCGACCTCGTCACCTGCACCTGCTGCAAGGAGTGCTTCTCCTGCCTGTCCTACCTCTACGACGAGTGCTGCTCCTGCGTCGATCTCTGCCCCAAGCCCAACGTCACCGACAATCCACTCAGCAAAAAGTCCCACGTCGAGGACTTCAACGAGCCCGTGCCCGGACTCTTCCAGGCTTTGACGGCCGAGGCCGACCCCCACGATCGTTGGCTCACCTTCACCTATCCCGTGGACTTTGACATCAGTCTCTTCCTGGCCAAGCAGGACAGCAGCAAGGACACCAAGTACCACCTGCGTGAGTAAACCCATAGATGTCGGTCGATCGCTCGAGCCGATCCCTTATTAATCGAAGTATGCAATGGTCAGTTTCAGAAAACCCGGACGCTGAAAAGAATCACTCGCTGAAGCCGAACGTCATGACGGTGAACTGCACCGTGGCCTACATGTCCGAGTGCCAGTCGTGGAACAAGTGCCGCCAGGCCTGCCAGAGCATGGGCTCGTCGAGCTATCGCTGGTTCCACGACGGCTGCTGCGAATGCATCGGCGACACCTGCATCAATTACGGCATCAACGAGTCGCGCTGCAAGCTCTGCCCCCTCGACAAGGACGACGAGGCGCGCGACCCCAGCAAGGACCAGTACGACGATTACGGACAGGATGACGAGCTCGTCGAGGATGAGATCGATTGAGGAAGGATCATCGCAGAGCAAAGTATGATCGTGCGTTGAGCAAGCATGAGAAAAGGGATGATATAATGGGGCGGCAGTTGAGCTCTCCTTACTGCTGCTGCTGCTGCACGGTTGAGCGCGAGAACTGTAGATGAAGTGAGCGACGATTGAAAGAACTCGTAGTCTAGTCACGTTTGTTTGTTTATATACGCTAATTGTTTGTTTTGTTCTGTTCGTTAACGAGAAAAAAAAGAAGGAAGAAGAAAAACGGCCAACGCCAATTTTTACTTTAACACGTCTTTTGTACAGCTGCTGCGCGTGACTCTGTATGCTTAAATAATTTTAGCGAAACCTTGTTTATTTATATAGCAATCGATGGTTTTTTTTTTATTATCGTATAATTTTGATACGCTCATGTAATGAGCCTTTTTTATAATTTCAATACAACTCATATTACGTGACGCGTTTGTATGTGCGAATTCGTACATATTACATATATTTTTCTCTCTATATATATGACTATATAATAATTGTGCCATTCATTTCGGAGATAAAACTGTACATGTATATTTATATATAAACATTATTTTACTGTAACATTGAAATGTTTTTTTGTGTATTTTCACACTTTTTTCTCTTATATCGTGAGTGCGCGTGTTTTTATATTTTTCCATTTAGTATTAAGCATACACGTGCGCGCAAAACACATTTGCTAAATTATATTTATATAATATCATAATCCGAGTATATCTTATTTTATGTTATGTATTTGCTTCTGTGGCACTCGCGCGCATATGTATGCCATAGTTTGGGAACATTTCTTAACGCTAAAATACATCCATGTTTTAGACATAGTCGATTTTTTTTTGTTTTCCTTCGATTGTTCATTTACAATATGCTAAATTGCCTCCTCTCTTGTACATTGTGTGTATAATAACTCGTAACTATACATTCATACGTGTACACGTTATAGAATATTCATTTTTTTGGCAGTTGTCAAGTGTGAAATGTACAGTATATAAGTATTACAATACGATTTAAAAATAGCCTCGTTAATCATTATTGGGAGAACGCGCATATATAATCATATCGTAGTATGTAAGCTGTTTGTAAGTTTTTTTCTTTTTTTCTTCTCTTTTTTCCGTAAAGTAAAATTAAAACTCAAACTTTGCGTATTTATATGTACGTAAAGTGTATAATATATATTGCATCTTTGGTGTTGATTTGGCATGTTTCAGCTATGGCCGTCTGGTCGTTAAGAAATCGATCCGCAAGTCGAAGGGGATCTCTCGTTCGTCTTAGTCTTAGATTATCGAGTCATCCTGAGCCTCGGTGCTCTCGGGTAATTTGATGAAGGGCAGATCGTTGCCACTCCACATCGAGTACAGGTTCGATCGCACCGACTCCTGAAATCGAAAGAAATGAAAGAGACACGTATAAAAAGGTCGAGCGACGATCGGCTTACCCCTGCACCGGCTGCGCTCTCCGAGCCCGAGCGGCTGTGTACCGATATGCACGAGTCCGTGGACGAGCTGTTCTTGCGCGAAGAGAGTAGGTCGACGACGCCAGGATCGGACTCCCGATGGCAGCTGTAATCACTGTGATGCGAGTGGATGCTGTCCTTGCTGTCTCCGTGGGCACTGCCGCTTCCTCCGCTGTGCTCTGCGAAACAAAACGAGTCCCCCGCGTGAATACTTTACCGATCCCTTGGTCAAATATCACAATAAATACCAACGGAGCGAAATCTCACCAGAATCCCGATGACTGTGGTCGCTGTCGCGCGAGTGATCGCTCGAGTGCGAGTGATCGTGATGATGGGTAGGCCAGCAGTTGCGCAGCGACGAGCCGATGGGCCTCGAGTCGGGCCAGCAGGAGCCCCCGCCGGAGGAGACGTCGTAGCCGGCGTCGTAGGTGGTGAGAGTCAGTCCGGGCGCGGCTTGATGCTGAGTCACGAGGATCTGCTGATGATGGCCCGTGGACGACACCCTGATGCCGGGCTTGCACGACAGCAACTGGATGGCCTCCCTCAAGCCATCCTGACTGGCGTTCTGTTGCTGCTGTTGCTGCTGCTCTCGTTGCTGCTGCTGTTGCTGTTGCAGGCTGTAAGGACTCTGTTGCTGCTGCTGGGACTGCGGCTGGTTGTGGAAGTGATGGTGATGGTAGTGATGATGGTGATGCTGCTGCGGCTTCGTCCCAGCACCAGCAACGCCACCGCCGCTGTTCCACAGCGAGTCCGGAGTGGTGGACCTGCTGCTGTTGCTGGCCTGATTCTGATGGGACATCTGCAGGGGCATGGGCACCTTGAGCCTCGTGCGGCCCTCCTGAACCTGACGCGGCCACTCGCTCACGTGGCGACAGTCCCACGGCATGGACCAGCGTCGGAGGGTCTGGTCGCCGGACTCGCTGCCGCTGCAGCCGCTCATCTCGGCCGCTGCGGTCTCCGACCATCTCCGCTGGACCTGCAGTGGAAACAGGGAGTAGGGCAGGGGCGAGCGATGACTGCTCTGCTGCTGTTGTTGCTGTTGCTGCTGCTGCTGTTGAGTCGGTGGCGGTGGCGAGCTGTAGAGACGCTCGAAGCACTGCTGCAAGGCCACGATGTCGCACTCGCTGCCGTCCTGCGAGCACGAGCACTCGGCCATGCTTCCTGCAAATATATTTCGACACGCGTGAAAATCGATCGCCAAAGTAAATTCGCTCGCGGCGAATGCAAAGCGACTGGAAGGGTCGAGCTCACCCAGGCATTTGCAGCACGCGACGCAGAACTGATACTGAAGATTGATGAAGGTCAGCAAATTGTCACGAAGGATGTCCTGCGTAATAAATACATAACAAAGATGGTTGGATTAGCATTTCGTGACTTGGAGGACGCGGCACGAATGACATTATGTACAAATATGCATATCGGTACATGTAATATTTGCGGGAATAATCGATACGTCCACTGATCGCGCGTCGCGCGACGACCTTCGAGTCGATGTACCGCTGGCAATCGATATTCTATAATAAAGTCAGCGGTCGCAGCAGTCCGTGCACGAAGTAGAGGCGCAAACTTACGTGCTTCTCGCCGTCGTTGTCGAGGATCTCGTAGTCCTTCATAGCGGCGTCGACGTGCTTCTTCACGGTGTGGCTGGCGACGTTGGTGGCGCGCGTGAGCTCCTCCCAGCCGGCCAGGCATTGCGTAGTGACTCGGCACTGTGCCATGGTGTCGTGCACCGACACCAGCGTCTGCAGGGACAGCGCTAATCTCGTACCAGCCGAGCACAGTCCGTTCAACATCTGCCCGACAAACAGAGAGAGGCGCCAAAATCTCAAGTTTTATTTTATTTCCGAATGAGTTGCGATGATTGTGAAAAAAGTACCTGCAGATATGTGAGCCAGCTACCGAGGCACTCCTCGACGTCGATTTGATTGTGGGATATTTGATTGTCACTACTGGCCCGGCGATGGCCAGCACCTCCAAGACCTTCTGCCATCCTTTCTATGTATAATGCGTGATATATATCTATAGAAACTCTCTGCCTATTGATACGTATATCTATTTTTGTATGAGTGTACGTTGATATATAGAATAAATTTCGTTATTTGGCCCACTAAAGCTCGACTTGCAACTTGCGACTTGCGACGACTGAACTTTTGCGCTAGCACGAGTTATCTAGCCGAATTGACCTGCAACAATTACAAGGGGGGAGGTGCACCGTGAAATACTGATGGTCGACACAAACAGGTGGAAGTAATAAAAAGCACGAGGTACTGACCTACGGAGGCGTGTAGCGAGACGAGCGCGATGACGACGACGACGACATTCCATTGGCAGGTTGTCAGAAGCGGTCCTGCAGCAGCTCGACGATGTGCCCTCGGTTGCCGTGTCCTGATCCTGGCAACGGCTAATTGGCTGTCGCACTGATTATCGCCCGCGTCCTCCTCCTCATCGTTACCGTTATTGTTGCTCTGCATGGTTTATTCGCGATGATGAATGATCAGGCTGACGATGACGATGGTGCAGTCATGAATGAATCGCGGCGCGCACGTCCTGCACGAGAGGACGGCCAGCGCCTGCGATGATCCTCGACTGCGGTGGCGGCGTCTGCTGCTACAGCTAGTGGCAGCAACCTTTTTAGACTGTGCTTGAACTCTGCGACTGGCTATTCACGAAGCCTATACCTACATGTATATAAGCACTAGGGGGGGCCGAGACTTGTGTCAGTGCACGCAGCCGAGACGATGGGTTCATCGACGCGAGGGTGCGCGCGCTGCACACTGCACCCGCTGCTGTTGCTGCTCATTCCGACTCCCCATCCTTTCGCGCGACTCGCTCCAGCCCTATTGTGTTAGATCGTGCGCCTATGTACCGTGCCTACTCCTGCTGCACTTCATAGACTCGGCCGTGTGTCGTCCTCCGAGTAGGGACTCGTTTTGCGAGGAATCGCTCGTAGCTGAGTACGTTTTTCGACGATGTTTTACCTGATTTTTGAAAAAATAGCGACGTCGCGGAGTAAGCGAGAAATACTCGTTGCGCCGCTTGACAAACCAGCAATCTGAAATAATCCCTGCCTCACCGACGCCGATAGTGGACTTTTCACTTTACCACCGCCAGATATAGTCGATTGCTTCGAGCACAGCTGGACCTCGCTGAGGAAATAGCGCGTGACGCTGACTATAGCGTACTCGATCAGCGAGCTTTCGTCGTTTCGGGGAAATCCACATTTTGTCATATATAATGGCAATATCGATCGATCTATACCGCTCTCGAGCAAAGACCATTTCTCCGCAGCGATGGATAATAAAAACAAAAACCCGTCGGACGACTGCGCGCATTTCTAATGTCGCATCGTTAAAACGTCGAGCCGCCTCGAAAGTGATAAACGATTTTGTTGCCTTTTTTTCGTATATAATTACGCGCGTGCGGCACGACGAGCGGAGAGCTTTCCGATGCATATAATATGTATACGTGCGCACGTATCGTAAAAATAGCTCGGACGCGCGCGCGTGAAAGCTAAAACGAATAGTGTGCGAGGAAAAAGCCGTCGACGACGATTTCACGCGCGTTCGACTCGATCCTGCGCCGATTCCCTCTTGCACCAGGTATATGGATAATTAAAATTCGAATCCCGAAAAGAACGTCTCGTATCAATCATATGCCATTTACGTTCATAATTTGATAAACATCGCGCGTGGAGGCTGCGAGCGTCTCGCGAAAGCTCGAGCGAATCTAGAGCGAATATTGGATGCGAAGCTATTTAGAGGATATGCACGTGTTCCAGGCGTCGACGCGTAATGAGAAAACGAGTTTTAAACTGGCTTCACTCAACGGTGAACAAATAAAGTTAAACTGGTGTACTTGAATACTTTGTTGGTAATTTATCGGCGAGACTGTATTATTTGTCCGTTTAAACTGTCATTGCTGTCGAATATAGTTTCTGCGACTTAAAAAGTACAAGTCGATGATAATTATACCGTACCCAAAAACCAAACGAGATTCTCGCGTTGGTTACCGATGCAGATAAGAAAGTGATTTTCATTGAGAGTTCTGACTTGGAATTAGCCATTTAATCGGTATCGCCAGTAGAGCGATCTTTAATAATTTTTTTTTACAATACACATGTCATTTGAATGGAATCAGAGGATACGAGGATTTGCATATAATTGAACACACCCTGTAGTCGCGTTGCTACCGTTGCCTTTTCTCTCTCTGAACTTTCGCGATATGAAACATAATGCAAACGGTGATCATTGCGCCTTTTTTATTTACTCCAACAAATATGGTTGTCTTTGAGCACGTAAATCAGTCACTTCCTTGCTGTATTATTTGTCGCATGGTTGCTCGCGATGCTCATTCAACGACGGCATTTCGAACAAAAACAAAGTTAATGGATTATTTTGCAGGCTCATTTTGCAATCGGCATAACTCTGGTAAAGTGTGAATTATTCAAAGTGTTTATCGCATGGCGGGCAGAATTTTGCGAAACAATGAGCGACTGTCCAGCTTCACAGTAGAGCTAAAAAGATTAATCGAGCGAGAGTCTAGTCATAGACCCGAGCTACATATCCAAGTTCTATACGAGTGCGAAAAGCACAAAGGAAATGATGGATGTGTAGCAACACACCAGCGTGGCGCGCGCGTACATTGCATATAATTTGAGCGTTCGCATGTATAGTAAAAGCTTATAATATAATGTCTGCGCGGATCGTTCTCGAGCTCGTTCATCAACGGCACTACCGGGAGAGCAGCTCAAAAAAAGCATCAGCAGCAGCCAAGAAGAGGCTGAAAAACGTACAAATAACAATCTTGCGGCGCATTGCGCGATCCGCGCGTTGTAATATGTACCGCAAAGCCCATGATAGAGCCCATTTGTGCAACGGTATTCGTTTCGGAAGAGACTCGGCGCGGCGCGAACTTGTTCGGCAAACAAGGCTAGGGATATATAGGTAGCGCGTGTATAATCGTCGTAAACAGCTGCTGTTTACAAGTCGACTACTGTCTTAAAGCAGTAGCAGGTCTATTATAACGCATCTGCGCGCTTGCGACCATACCGATTGTGCCGATGGGACGCGTCGTTTAACTGCAGCGGCAAGTGCGCAGTTGTAAAAAATCTCGTGGTTGAACTCCGAATAACAGAGATTAGACTAACTCTACTTTTTGCTCGATTCCGCTCACGAAATTCGACCTATATACATTCAAAGAAGCATGCAGCGCCTCGGAGCGATCCTTTTTTTTCTCGCTGCTACCATCGCTGGTTGTTGTTTCGGGCGTAAAATACGTATCGTGTGGGCGCGGGTAATAAAAGCCACCATTTGACACAGTTTCAGCGCGGTTGTTGGGTCAGGCCTGCACGCAGAGTTGAAAAGGGCCGAGCAGCAGCAGCAGAGGCAGCTCCTTTGTGAAATCGGGCCCCCGGAAGAGCCGACAAAAGAGAAAAGAAAAATAAACCCGCGCCGCGAACTGAAATCATCGCGTACATATACTTACTCGCATTTAGTCATAATTAATAGATGTACATATGAGAGCGCTGTATACAACAGCACGGATGAATGAAGTCCTCGAGAGCTGTTGAGCGAGCGAGCGCGAAAAGAAATGAAAAAGATAATATGCGTGCACGCACGTGAATCGCTGAATGAGAAGAATTATACACGGCTCGCGCGAAAGAGTACGTACACACACACATTCGTATACGTATAGAAAAGCGTCGTCGTCGTCGTCGTCGTCGTCGCCGTCGTGCAAAGGAGAAAGAGTGCGAGTGAGCGAGAGAGAGGATCGACCTTAATCGCGCTCGCGCACACATACGTACACGGCAGCCGACTGTGTATGTGTTTGTTGGTATAATATTGTGTGGAGGGACGCCGGTCGAGCCGAGCGAGAGAACGTGATCGTCTACGTACGTACATATACACACACACATATAAGCAGGTAAGCGGAGTGAGCCAGGTATAGCTCGGTGAAGGGAGCACTTTGGCTCTCAGTCTTTCTCTCCTCGAGCGAGCGAGCGAGCGAGGCAACAGCAGCGAGAGGCCCCGTGGCCGCAGCAGTGTGCAGTGAGCTCTCGAGCGCGCGCTATGCCAACGGAAAGCGCGAACAGTCGTGCCACGACGAGACCAAAGACTCCGATATCAACAAGAACTGCTTGACGTATTATTATTTTGACAGGTGCAAGCAACGACTCGTCGTTGTCCTCGTCGTTGTCCTCGTCGCTGTGTGGACTTTCGGAGCGGTATACGAGGCACGAGGTGAAATCGTCCCGTGTGGCAGTCCGCGCCGATCGCGATACATCGCAGTGCTTCGCGAACCTCCGCGTGCCTTCCGCGTGCAAATATTGCCATAGCAGCTGTTGTGTGTGCAGTCTCGACTGGTGAACTCGACCAACGAATGCACGAGTAGCATACGCGTAAGAGTGCGCGATGTGATTGGTGCGCGACGAGCAACGCCGATTATCCGTGTAACAATAATAATACTATACGCACACGTGCAAAATATTTCGTCGAGCTGTGTGACTGCGGCTCGCGTCTGCATAGGACGACTGTGCGCATACATACAGCGAATGAGAAAGAGAGAAGAGGCGTATATATTACGCGCATACTCGACTGCTCTCAACCTCGACTACGGCTGCTGCGGCGAGCTACCTACGCTTTCCGCAAGCTCGACATTGATGTAATATACGCAGGGATATAGGAAAAACGACACGAGGAGCCGAGCTCCAGACACGCAGTGGAGAGATAACGAACCATGAGGACATTACCAACGAATCTGGCCTTAGTCGTTACTCCTCTCGTCTCCTTGTTATTGTTATCAAATGCAGCCTTGGCACAACAAACCGGTACGTACATATCTCTCTCCAGCAGCCCGACGAAACCCACCACGACAAACGCACAACTAGCTGTAAAAGTCCTATTGTTTCGTTAAATTCTCCGAGCTGACGCGCGAGTGAAATTCGCCTAACTAAATGGATATGACCATCTTTCGCACGATTGTATCTTGTGCGCAGGCAGGCACTGCATTTCTCACACCTTTATTGTTAGCTCTTACTGCTACGAACCGTCGTTTCGGCAGGTATATAAGTACGCGCGCGCACGCACGCATGGAAAATTTCATTACAATGCGGTTTTGAACTAACGAAAAAGGACGCGCGGGCGAAAAAAATGCCTCTCTTCCAGTTTCTTCTCGCGCGAAGGAGAAAGAAGTTGTGCATAGTAAAGGTACCACTACAGTAATAGGATCACGCGCGAGCTCGTCGGAGTCGCGTCGACTCTCGAGTTACCTCGATATATCGTGGCCTGAGCCGCGACAAAGTGTGCCTAGCTCGACTGTGTAAGTACGCGCGCGCTCGCGGCTTTTAGGTAAATGTACCGTTTTCTATATATATACACATTCGCCGACATTCGCGCAATGCTATACTACTATTACTATTACTACTACTACTACTACTACTACTACTACTACTACTAAGTACGAGGTGTATGATCCACGGAATGGAGCTCCATGGCAGACCGCGAGCACGCGAGAGTAAAAAAAAGGAAAAAATTACGCACGTACGCGGCAGCTGGCCTATAACGTGCCGTACGCACGTACCAGTA